ATTTGGTTAACCAGTTAAAATTCATGAGTAAACCAGTTTTTTTTAAAAAAATCTGAAACATTTCGGGGGGGGTTGAACCCCAAAAACCACCCCCTCGCTACAGGCCTGATGTTAGGATTCTCAATGACCCTCTCCTTAAAGACTTGACCCCAAAGAATGACATTTTCCTCTGCCAAACACATTTAACATATCTTAATGGGGCGATTACATTCCATTTAGATCAGGTATGGGTGGTCTTTGGCCCTCCAGGTGTTTTGGACTTCGGCTCCCACAGTTCCTAACAGCCTACTGGCTGTTGGGAACTGTGGGAGTTGAGGTCCGGAGCACCTGGAGGGCCAAAGTTTGCCCATGCCTGATTTAGAGAGATCCCTAGACATACACGTTTCTCCAACAATGGAAACCATAATGATACCATATAGAGCTCTGGAGCTGCTGAAGATGTAGCCCTCTTGAGCTCGGAAACATGCTCATGTCACTCTAAAGGACGGGGACCTCTTATCCCATCCTCCTGTGCATATCTTCATTTCTGCTTTTATAAATCTCTTTTTTAAGACCAATAATATTATATATTAAATAGTAGCCATATTCACTGAGATAGTACAAGCAGGTCAACCAAGTACAAGGAGAAGTACTTGGAAAGTAGGCGTGAAAAACACTCGGTCGTGACCGGAGCTCCCAGGAAATATTTTAGAATGAAGAAAAAAATCACATGAACTTTCAAAATAGAGTTGGGTTTGTCCAAGAAGAAATCCTGTGGTTTTGAGGGAGTTTTCTTTCTTATCTGTTTGGCATAAATGGTTTCTGAGAAACCCATGCTGGTGCTAAGTAATCACAACTTTTCTTTTCCAGTATGTACAGACTGATTGTTTAGTGATCTTCGTGGTAATGACGTCTGTACTTGCTCAAGCACACACTTCTCCCTTTGGCTCTTTTTGAAGATGAAAGCAAAAGTTGCCCTCTTCCACTCCACTGGGATAACTCCCCCAAGAAATTTGAAAGATTATTGGCAGTGCCTCTGAGATTATATCCGTACCAAGGTCGTTTCAATACTATTGGATGCAATTCACCTGGCCCTGGAGACTTTTGGAAAATGGAAATGTCCATAACCTTTTGGACATTTTATTATCTATGGAAAGGTGTGACCTTGTTGGAAGTCATAACCTTTTGAAAAATGATGCCATAACCTCTTGATAAAAAGCATGACCTTAGAGTCATAACCTTTTGGGAAAATGGCATTCATGCAAGGCAATTACTGTATATACTCGAGTATAAGCCTAGTTTTTCAGCCCCTTTTTTAGGCTGAAAAATCTCCCCTCGGTTTATACTCGAGTCAAGGTTATTTATTCTTTTACTCTGTTATTAGTATTAGTTTTATTACATTTATTATTTTACTCTATTATTATTATAGTCACATTATTTTACTCCATTATTATTCTATTTCTTAATTTGCTCTATTATTACTTACTAACTTACTTACTTATGAGATCCCTCATTGGCCAAGTAGGATAGTCTTCCAGGATCAGAATTCTTGTGAGTCTGTAGGTGGCTATGGAGCCCTATTCTTGATCTGCATCTTCTTCCGCAGTGAGGGCATTGGTTTCCAGGTGGAAGGCGTTCCTGGTTGGGGTTGGCTTGACACGCCATCCTCTTGGCACGTTTCTCTCTTTCACCCTCCATTCGTGCCTCTTCAAATTCTGCAGCACTGCTGGTCACAGCTGACCTCCAGCTGGAACGCTCAAGGGCCAGGGCTTCCCAGTTCTCAGTGTCTATGCCAGAGTTTTTAAGGTTGGCTTTGAGCCCATCTTTAAATCTCTTTTCCTGTCCACCAACATTCCGTTTTCCGTTCTTAAGTTCGGAGTAGAGCAACTGCTTTGGGAGACTGTGGTCGGCCATCCGGACAATGTGGCCGGTCCAGCGGAGTTGATGGCAGAGGACCATCGCCTCAGTGCTGGTGGTCTTTGCCTCCTCCAGCATGCTGACGTTTGTCTGCCTGTCTTCCCAAGAGATTTGCAGGATTTTCCGGAGGCAGCACTGATGGAATTGTTCTAGGAGTTGCATGTGACATCTGTAGACAGTCCACGTTTCGCAGGCATATAGCAGGGTTGGGAGGACAATGGCTTTATAAACAAGCACCTTGGTATCCCTATGGATGTCCCAGTCCTCAAACAGTCTCTGCTTCATTCAGAAAAATGCTGCGCTCGGAGAGCTCAGGCAGTGTTGTATTTGGTAGAGAGGTGTCTGTTAAGGTCTGTCAAGGTAGCAGTATTTCTGGCATTGGAGAAGGATTGGCTGGTGACTGCTGGAACAGCACTTTGGTTATTTCGATGTTCAATGACAAGCCGAGCTTCTCGTACGCATCTGCGAAGGTATTTAGAGTGGCTTGTAGGTCTTCTTCTGAATGCGCACAGATGACGTTGTCATCAGCATACTGGAGTTCTATTATTATTATTACACTTATAGTATTTTACCCTATTATTATTATTACATTTATTATTTTAATCTATTTATTATTATTATTATTATTATTATTATTATTATTACATTTACAGTGTTTTACCCTATTATTATTAGTATATTTATTATTTTACTCTATTATTACTGTTTTTATTGCATTTTCATTATTTTACTCTATTATTATTTTTATTACATTTATTATTTACATTGAAGGAGGTTAGAATACTGGTTTAATCAGAGTTGGACAGTCTTATCTTAAATTACAGTTTTATGTAAATATTAAAAAACATTTAGCCTATTGATGCCTCAATTAATATAATTTTATTGGTATCTATTTTTATTTTGAAATTGGCCCGTAGCGATTGCATTTCCCACCCTTGGCTTATACTCGAGTCAATATGCTTTCCCAGTTTTTTGTGGTAAAATTAGGTGCCTTGGCTTACACTTGAGTATATACAGGGTTTCTCAGCTGTTAAACTGATGTACTTAGATATGTCTTTGAACTGTTAGGGACAAAGATATGCCAATGCACAAACATATATTCAGCAGAGTTTTAGAAGTTTTCATTTTAGTTGCCCAAAAACATCCAGTCTCTCCTAAAACATATGTGCTTTTAAAACATGCTCTCAAGAGAGAAAAATAAGCAGACTTCTTCAAAAGTAACACAGTTGGTTTACTCATAAACGTCATGTATTCAGTATACAGGTACTTTGCATAGGAATCCAGTTACAAGTAGATTTGAAGTAGTTTATCTGTGCAGATAACACAGGGCATCTTCCTCATATTCAACAGCCATAATCTAAAGCAGTGGTTCTCAACCTTCCTAATGCCGTGACCTCTTAATACAGTTCCTCATGTTGTGCTTGATGAAGGCTTGATGAAAATACATAATACACTTATTGGAAAATATATTTGATATAACCATATTAGAAATA